TCCTTTATTTTACGTTTTTTAAGTCTAAAAAGTTAAATTTTTGAAAAATAAATAAAAATTATAACTATTCTGAGTAGCTTTTCAAAAACTTTCTTTCTCCTTTTCAGGAACTCTAGAAATATTGAAATGCTACTCAGAACAATTTTTTATTTGCCTCTTTGAAACATGTCGTATGCTGCGTGAATGTGGCATACACAATTTTACAAAAATTTTTGTTTAATCAAAATATCCAGAACTTTTGTTATGCTTTTTCAATAACTCTAGAACTATTGGAAGGCTACTCAGAACAACGTTTGTTGTTTGCATCATACCGTGTGCCAACTTCCCAGACATGCTTACTGACGAACAAATTTTCACTGTGGAGGAATCGTCAAGGGTCTTCGTGGCCACCACCTGGCTACTGTGATGGTTTCAAAAGGACTCTCTACTCAAGCCGATAAGGAAAAATTTACACATAGTAATGTTCCGAACTTAATTTTCCCGGCTGATTGGCGCCCAGACCTCCATGGCCTATAAATTAGAACAAAAGTTATTAAAAACATTCACATTCATGAAATCATCCAGTAAATCGTTTACATTAGGTTCCACTACTTCCTCTTCTACATCTTTATCTCAGTATCGTATGTCTTCGTCCTCCACCAAAAAATTTCAGCTAATATTTCGTCAAAAGATTTATTTCCAAGCAAACTGTAGATACCGTTTGTTCAATTTGTTCGTCTGAATCGGTTGGTAACTTTTGGCTGAAGAGTTTGAGATGTTTATGCTCTTAAGTCAATCCAATAGTTGAAAACACCTCCATCAATTAAACAGATTACGAGTACCTTGATGCTTACAGAAAAAAAGGTACTATTTTACCAACGAATCCTTGACTTCGGCTTAGAGACAAAACTTCTAGATGCTTCGTGCCATAGTTGTTGCTGCTTATTTTAAAGAGTTCGTGAGCACAGAAATTGGAGTTGAAAAATACACTTAAAAAGCTCAACGTTGAGTGCATATAGCTCTTAAAAGCGTCCATAAGTTTTCAAAACGCTCTTAAGGTTTGGTTACCCTAGTCCAATACTATCGAACTGTGTTGGTCGTTTTTCTCTAAAATTGTTGTGCAATGTTAACTACGTAACGATATATATATATATATATTTTTTTTTGTAAATCTTCAGTTACAAAACTTTTTTATTCATATTTTCCGCAGCTCAACCATCACTAATAATGAACTTTCGGCGAGCATTGAACGTGAACGTCAAAATGAAATATCAGCACAACCGACATCGGTGACGGAAAGAGATCGTATACGATCGCAATTGTTGGCGAAAATGAATCCTGGGTGAGTTTGAAGATGATAAATATGCATATTTCTTGGCTTACTTAGAAACTAATCGAAAAAGTTACACAAAAATAAAGAAAAACTACAGTAACTAACGAAATTTACCACGTAACAGCCGATGTAATGTTAGCAGTTAAAATACGCGCCATGCAGTTTACTGTGGGCTACATGTAGTAATTGTGATTTAAACCCATGTAAAACCAATGTGAAATATTTGTGAGTATTGAAATCTTAACTCCGAACAAAACTATTTATTCGAATTACACCGCTATATGTATTAAGCCATACAGTAGAAAACAAGAATGGGGAATTGGTCAAGCTTTTAAGCTAAGTAACTGTATTTGCACTGATGGGCTCAAGATGAGCCGCGGTGTAGAGTTAGAAGTCTATTCCAAAGACTTTAGTATCGACTAGTACTTGCGACTGGCAAACCACGCTAACATTTTGCAAGCTAAAATTCTAGTAATATGTGTTGCGTTATTATGAAAGCTGGACTGCACTTTTAGCTACAGCAGGTATTGGAACCAAAGTTAGGTAAAGAAGGCAAAATGGAGATATGCTCAGTGCCTCAGTCAAGGTTCATCGCTCTTCTAGGCATTCCCGATCAAAGGAACTTACATAGCCATAAAAGAGCGAATGAATTGGGCAATTCGGAAGCTTGTTGGGATTAATTTGTAGCAGTGGTACTGCGATACACCATCGAGCAAATAAAAACAAATCTACTTACAGTTTCTGATGCAAACAAGGAAGTAATAGCCAAGGATCCAAACTTGTAGAATAGAACGGCAGCTTTGGCCATCTAAATAAATCAAATAGAACAGTAAGTAGATCTGTTAATTCGACCAAAGGGTAGAAGTGTTTACAATTGTAGCAACTTTCATAAGTTTCTACAATAAGGCATCTCTACCACAGAATATGAAGACACTGCTGCTTCGGTGGCTGCGAAAAACGGTATTTAATTTTTTGTCTGACTGATTAGGTCAGCTTCTATCGCTATCGTATACATGCATGTATAAATGTGTTCTAAAAAAAGTGAATGTGAGTCTAATTATCCGCTTTATTTAGGCCACTTAGGAGCAGAACACTGGGGCAGTAAGAGCGTAAAAATTTCCTAGCAGTAAAACGAAAAAACTAGTCTGTGCATCTACGAACATTCACTTATACGAATTGGCTTAAAATGAATATTTAAGTACATACATATTCAAAGTATATACCTAAATTACAAAGTATCAACTACCAAACGGCATACCCAAATACAGCCAGAACAGAGATTGAATGACATCCCACTGTTAGAATTACTTTGAAGCAGCCTTGGTAATTTCGTATTCAAATTTATTAGCGGACATACAAATCCATTTGAAAGTGCTAATGAAAAAAAACTCCAACTAAATAAAACACGCCTTTTCCATGCCATGCAAATGCAATAAATGACCTACAGTGTACGCCTACAAAATTGGCCCACTAACTGACTGACTGATTAGCCAAGTAAATGAACTGAACAGAGTGCCAGTTTTGAAAGACTTACTACTGACTGGCACGCCTTTTTTAGATATGCAATGCATTGTGATTGAGTAGTGTTGAATGACTACTTAGATAAATAGCTGAATAGGCTAAATGGCAGGCTGAATGTAAATTCATATATAGATATGCGCAGTTGCATATATGTATGTATATTTTCAGTGTAAATTACTTATTTATATATTGACGCATTGTATGTTTACAATAAAAGTGACCAAATTATGTACATGGATAGACGATTACTAAATCGCTTTTTATCAATTTTGGTTTACCTAGAACTGTATTTTTAATTTTAAAGTCGTGAAAAGTAGGCCTTTACTAAAGCGCAAACAATAATGGCTAAATATCTAAATATTAGTCGTGCTGAGTAGTTGAATAACGCGCTGAATATGCAAAAACCATTTCAAACTACATTAGTGAGCGAACGAATTTGATGAGCACCTAACTAATTAGCTGAATGCTTAGCTGAATAATTATCCGCCAGCTGAATATATCAGTTTTTACCCAAAATAACGATAACAGGTCTTGGTTAAATTTTTTCTCACATTGTAGCAAAATGAGGCATTAGATGGCTGAATCGAATCCAATCATAAAATAACAAACTATTTAGCTATTTTAAAGCTGAATAAAGAGCGGAAAGTCTGAATATTGCTGGACGTCTGAGAAACTTGGTATGGAGTTCAACGCTAAAAACGATTTTGCTGAATAATTTGCCAAATTAGTAAACAATTTTTGCACTCTCTGAACTCTCCTGAATCATTAATGTGGCTGCCATCCCTCACAACTCTATAATTTTTCAAAGTTTTTATTTGTCAGATAGGGCAATGAACTAGCTCCCGGAACTCAATAACTGCTTTCCTCATTTTACTACGCTTTTAGCGGTATTATTTGGCACGTTTTCGGTTACGTTACTACACCGCCACTAACCACTTAAAGGTTCAACAGCACTCGCCAACGAGGCGATGCAACTACTTTGTGGTGCTGCTACTGTGCTGCTACTCCTTCTATGCAACAAAGGAGGTCTTCACCAAAAAAAACGTACTGAAAAAATGAATGGTAGTAGCTTCCGCTTTGAATTTTTAAACAAACTAATCTGCGCGTTGGGACAACAAATCCAACAAAAGACTGGCAGCTAAGGAAGCGCCAAAAAGTGAGTCTCCCAGTAAGTTGCTCTTTCTTCCGCTTCCCTAGCAGAATTATAAATAGAGGCTAGTTTCAAGTGGAGTAGAAAAGGAGCAACATGAAAGAACAAAAGCAATGCGAACAAAAAATAAAATAAAAATGAAGTGCTAGAATAGCTGAGTCGCAAAAAAAAAACAGTGCAGTGTTAGTAAAAGAAGCAGCTTAAGTAGCAGTGAGTGTAACAGGAGTGCAAGTTGGAGTATTTAGTAGCAGCACAGTGGCTGTTAAAGCAACAATTGCGGAGGTTGGCACAGAGAAAGAAAGACTCACCATCGCCAAACGATGGTGGTGTACATAATGGCTATACTGTTAGATGTTGACGCCCATTGTCGGAACTTCTCTTTACTACATCAACGTTGCGCTGCTTTTGGCACTGGTAACCTGAATCTTTAATGAATAGACAACAGCAAAACCAAACGATAAGAATGAATAAAGCAGGCACGGCATGAAAAAGTGTCACTAAGTCACTGGGGATAAGACCAATAAAAAAAATCAAGAAAGCAATAAGGGAAGTAAAAAAGAGAAAATGAGCAGTAAAAACAAGCTACGTGGGAGCGAAATATAAAAAGAGAAGAAGAAAAAACTACAATGAAAACGATAAAGTGCTTTGTCGTGGTACGAACGTGTTGGAGTGCCAAAAAGTGAAGAAAATAATGTCTGGAGCGCATAGGTAGTTAAACAAAAGATGAAACCCTGCCAAAAGTGTGCCAGCTGGGCTTCGACGGTCGGCAGGCGTCTTTCTTGTGTAGTGTAAAATATAAGACTCCTGAATGCGTGTGTCTTTTTCTTGGCATTGCTTCGCATCTAACTTAATGCATTCGATGACATATCTGCCTTATTTTGCATAATAATTGTGCCAAAATATATATGTATGTATGTGCATACATCATTTGCAGGTAGAGTATAGCTTAGGCCGCGCGCTTTTCAAATTAAGTGGCACGACTCCGATTCCAGCTAAAGACTTGAAAAGAGTCTGATGAGCAGACGTAGCGCCTTCCAAAATAGCGGCTAACATTTCTATAGATTCGATGTTCTAACAGAGCCAGAAAAGCTCAATCGGAATCGTAAAAGTTTTTCCACGATTTTTTAAAACACAGTTTTTCGTGCTCTTAAGTTTGTAAAATTTAAAATTTTTAAGTAAGTGTTTACTTCCGTTGCTGTGGAGTCAGTGGTATGAAAACATAAAATTTAGTAAATTCGGAAAACGCAAAGTAACAATTTTTCCACTATAAGTGGTCAACGATCACTTTGTGAATCAACCAGAATAGCTTGATAGTTAATTCACCTAATACGGAACTGGTTTTTTCCAAAGGAAAATAAAAGTGCCTGCCTTTGCTTTGGGGACATTAAAGTGACCTACTTCGAATCCTTCAATGCACAACACCGATTTCGGTGAAAGATTAAGCAGGATCTAGTCGGAAGATTTTGAATAGAATAACAACATAAATTAAAAAAAAGAATTAAAATTTTAAAACAACTGTTTTTCTTGCTCAAAATAATTGGGCTTAATACAGATAGTATATCAAACTTCTTTGATTTCATTATAAAATGCATATTCAATAGAATCTCTGTTTTTGGTAAATTTTATAAAAAAATTTTTCGATAATCGTACTTGTCACCAATTTTGGCGCTTATCAGTCGACGCGAAGCACAGCTGACGCATCGGTTTTCATACATACATATGTAGGTATGTTATACAGATATGAATGTACCTGCTCATGAAGCATTTAATATCCATATCATCGCCTTAGTTCACTGAGATAAGATAATATCACACTTTGTAGTGCGTACAATATTTGTGAATTTATATTATGTGTATAACTATGTAATATCTGTAATATCTCCCTGCATACTCGTACATCCGCGCATATGCACGCTTGCCAGCAAATGTATATTTAAGCCTTTAATTGCAAATTGATTGATGCGTCGCAGTGGGTAAAAAAAGTAGAACTCAATTATTTTCCATATTTTTTTACCACAAAAATACAAATTAGCAAACATTGACCAGCAAAATACCAATGTTCAGTCAGTCCATCACTGCAGTGGCGAGCAGAACAGTTGCTGTTCATTTTCAACAGCAGCCTTAAACGCAAATATTTGTTTTGACGTTTTTTGGTTTTCGTTCTTGTGCCATTTTGACACATCAAAAATCAACACATCCATCACCGCACAACATAGTATATACATAGTAGCTCGGCATGCCACCACCACCTGGCTATGGGCCGCCACCGCCCGGCTATGGACAGCCGCCACCACCCGGCTATGGACCGGCACCTCAACGCGCTCAAGTAAATATCAACGTTGGACCGCCACCGCGACCACAAGGCGCCAATGTGGTTATTGTTGAAGGACGCCCACAGCCGCCGCCACCAACTGTGTACGTTAACGCGCAGCCGAGGCCACCACCAACTACCGTTGTAGTTGAGGGAATGCAGCAGCCACCTAGAATGACGCTCACCACAACGGGTGGCTGTTGTGCGATTTTGTGATGCAGAATAATTGGGGTTTTTTTTTCTTGCTAATAGTGTTAGTTGTATAGATTTTTCAAATATTTTGTAACTTTTTTTTTTTCTTTTGCTCAAATTGATTTCATTAATCTACAATAAAATGGCGAAATCGTCAATGGATGTAAAAAGAGACAGTAAAGTGAAATAAAAGTTGATGTTTGTAGAACTGGAAAAAAAGTTTGATTCATTCTAGCTAACATTGGTTAGGGATTTATGAAAAAGTTTGAGCCTGATGGAAAGGCATGATGTGTGTGTTCTGGCTGAAGTGAAAAGTCTGTAAAAATTTATAAAAATGCACTGGGTCGTAAAGTTTATTATCATTGTTTAAAACAGTTTTTTTTTTTTTAAGGTGACATTGCACGTTTTTGAAGTGGATTTTTGATGGATTCGTGAAAATTTTTTTGGAAAAAAAACACAGCAAAAAAATTATTTACGTCATCCCTTGTCTAAAAACCGGCACCGCGTTGTCCTAAATTTAACATTGAATGACGTTTATTCATTCCGGTGGACACTATTTCTTCATGGCTTTAAAAGTTGTTTGTTCTTTCAGCCAGAAAATCCATAATTTTCTCATTTTTAGGTTTTAGGCTTTGAAAAGGTATAAAATGATTTCAAGAGTTTCTTGGAATCATTAGTTAAATTTTTGTTAGTTTTTTTGAGACTTTCGGAAATTTCCAATATCTCCCAGGGATTTTCCAAAGGTTCATTTTAGTATTTTGTTTTAGAAGATTTTGATATTTTTTCGCTTTTTTTTCTCAAGGCCTGTACGTAAAGAGCTTTAGGGATTTTGCACGAAATTTTAATGATATACTGAAATCTTAATTTTTTATTTTTTAATGTCTCAAAATAAAATAAATAAATTTAACTACAGCCTGTGTCCAATATGCACAACACCGATCGAATGCCGAATTGGAACATAGTTTCGCAAATATGCTTTGACTTTGACTTGATGAATTTCTGAACGCAGCCACAGCCAGCAGTTTTTTGGATGTTAAAGACCTTAGTGGTTCGTCTCCTTACAGAGCGCTGTCGAAACAATCATTACTAATATTTCCAAAAGACTGTGCAGAAGCACAAAAATTGTTTCGCTGTCTCAACATTTTCTTGGCAGGAAGCGCAAATGGAATTGCCATATATGTCAATCACCAACAGGTGTACGCGCCACTAGAAGTGACTAGTTTGCAATCTGAAAAGTTCTGTGCACTTCCACCTACTCAATAAAAGCACATACCTAGCTATACCTGAGATTGAGGGCAACATGAGTATTGTCCACGCTGAGTGAAATATTAATCCAGTTTCGGACGCACCGACGGTATCGGTGGATGAAGGTAGAAGTGCTATAACTTATTGAAGAAGGAGGAATACCTGTGCTGAGCAAGTTTAAGTTAAATAGTCAAATATCTTATTGTCAGGTGCTAGCAAGGGATCTGATACCCAGAGTTAGTTAGGTTAAACGGACAGCTCTGAGAAGAGTTCACTCGGAATCCTAGCAGTGATGAACACTCGCAAAGGAAGTGCTGGACGGATTCTATCTCCTTCTCATCCCTACAGCTGCTACAGAAATCTTTTTTGCGGGGCTTGGAACCTGGCGGCCATAAAACGTTTGGATTTGTAAGCCTTAATAAACTCCATGTTCTTCGTTCGTCAAGCCGTGGCCAGAGCGAGTGCGATGCCATGCAGGTGTGCAGATTTCACCACCTAATATTGGCGGCTGCCCTGGTCACTCTTTTAATTTTTGAAGACAGAAGTCGCAGGGGAGGTTTAACATTCTGTATCGCTTCCACTTTCTAGCACATTAGTCTGGTTCCTTACTTCCCGGGACTGCACTATGCCCCGGCAACCAGTAAATATTGATTAGGTGGTGTTAGAGCGCTAGTTGGGATCTTCGGCATTCCTTAACGCATATCGAATTAGCCGCTGCCGATCCCAAAGCTCACAAGCCTTGCTGCCATGGCGGATTACATATATCTCAGCTTCAAAAACACTGCAGTGTTCTAGGAGTCCCTAGATCTTGGGAGAAGACGCCGTATCCTGTTCCGATATCGATTTTGGAGTCGTCCGTGAAAATGGGTATTTCGTCCTCGCCGTGAGTAATACTAAATTCCCAGTCACTTCACTGTTTCCCTGAACTTCCTCTCTGTCGAGGATTGTGCAAGTTGTTCGCTGCTTGTTAGACGCCCTTAGTCGTAGATCGATTCTAGCTGCGGTACTTTTAACAGACCCAGAGTAATACAAGTTAGTTATTTTTTCCAAAAAAATTATGCCAAGAAGTGTATTTCCCAACTAATTTGGAAGTGATTAGAGGCCTGTACAATGTCTTGAGTGCCAAAAACTGCAAATACTTCGCCTTGGAATATCGACGCCTATTAGCCAAATAAGAAGCAAAGAATATCGCTACTTGTATGAGCCCTTATGGTCTACCCGGTCACTTTTACGTCCGGGTCTTACTCTCCAACAATCGTTTATGGTTAATTTAAATATCTCAGCAAGACATTGATTTTCATAAAAACTGCCATACGCAGCCATTCGAAATATCGAAATATTCTGCGTCCAATCAATCGACCAGAAAAAGACCTGGCGAAAATGAATGCCGTCGAACTGGAGCTTAGACCCCGATACCTTACCAATTTCTTTATATTTGACAAATTCGTTTCTTCCCTGATCCTCGCGAGCATGTGTATATTCACAGAAAGACTTCGGTCTTGAGGTTCATTGCCATTATTTCTATGCGGCTCTTCTTTTTTCTGGACTGCCTTCCGTAGCACTAATCTAAATAGATGCGTTTGCTGTGAAAGAAAACTGTTTTACCTTCACTTTGATATTTCATACGGCTTTATTTACACACTCAAATATTGCAAATGGTTGACACTTGCTGTTTTTATTTTAAATTTTTGTGCTCAGATTCTTAAAAAAAAAGGTTAATAATTTTAAACAACGAAACTTCGTTTGATTTTCAGTTTAACTAGACAAAACCACCACAAGAAGTCTTTTATAAAAGTGGACGATAGTTCACAAGTTGATACCTCATCATTTAATAGCGCTTCGATTTCACAAACCCACTTTGTACATAGAGTGAGCAAACTTATACAAAAAATTATTGTAAATTCACTAATGGAACAATAGTTTATCTTATAATTATTTAGATATTTCTTATAACGTCCCTTATTATGCCTGAATTTTCCATCTCAACTCATAAAATGACACAACAGCAACTATTCGGCTTCGGCGGTATAACCACTGTCTCGGTGATCACCGTCGCTGGTTGCTGCCTTTGATTGCCTCCCTCCACCACAACTGTCGTTGGTGCAGCTGCAAAGCCCGCACCAGAATTTACAACCACACTGGAGCCCGCAGGCGCTGTTGTCTGCGACGAATTACCCGAATTAACCACAACTGTCGATGTTGGCTGCTGCTGCTGCTGCTGTACCCCAGGCGTATTCACAATCACAGTTGATTGCTGTGGCATTGGTGCAGCCACAACTCTCGGTCCAGACATGGCTGATGCTGCCATCGCACCCATCGCCGCTCCGGTAACCAGTGAAGCACCAATCATGAGACCGGCACCTGGTAGCACCGGTGCTCCACCACCAACTACAACTACTTCGTTCACCACGGGTCGTGGGGCTGAATTGACGTTCACATTCACATGTGTGGGTCCGGCTGGCGGTGGCGGACGTGTTGCGCCGGGATTTGGCGGAGGTCCACCTGGACCTGGACGACCGCCGAAGGCAGGGCCCGGTGCTGGCATGCCACCGCCCACTCTAACTGGACCTGGACCAGCCGTACTCAGTCCCACTCTTGCTGGACCTGGGCCTCCCATTCTCATGGCAGGTGCACGCATAGCCATATTCATTCTTACCGGACCGGGTGCAGCTCTAAATCCACCGTGTCCACGCATGGCGATGCTGGGCTAGTTTTAAGTTTTTCCCTATTTTAGTGCTTAGCTCCAATGAAATTTCACTTTAGCTCTTTAGTTTGTCTTCGTACGGTAAGCGTTTTCAACTGTTTTGTGATTTTTGATAACAGTGACAGTGTACTGTCATTGTTGCAAGTATTTTCATTTCATATGAAGCAAATCAATCATTTCCTAATTCAAATTTTGATATGCGGAAAAGTAGACGTCATCGACTCGTGACATTATCTTATCAGATAACGTTCAAGGCAGTGAAATTCACATCGCAAGGGCACAGGTTGTGAAATAAATAGCGGGAAATCAGACTTCCAATATTTATGAGATTTTTACGCTTAAGAATTTAGCCTGATTACTTCAATTGAAATAATTTGTGTAATTTAAGATTTTATGACTCTAGCTATGTATGTGTTTATTTTAGGGGTGTTCATATTTTATCACGCTTATCGGTACTAGATAAAATTACTTGAATGTGCTGATAAGGGCTTACTCTCATATCGATAGTTTTGATGTCGAAAAATATGTTGATGATTATTTCCTTTGAAGAATCGATGCCGACAGAGAACTAAAAATTTTGAAAAGCAGGCCATAGTTTGTCGGTTTCAGCTGAAACTAAAAACCCTTATCGATTGCTTCTCTCCTCTGCGAAGTTTTACCAGTAATTCACTCCAAGTGTAGATAAGTTCAGCGGTAATATATCCTTCCATGCGCTGCGTGGACGTCCTTGCTTTTATTGTCGACCCCATAGGTGCCGAGTGCAAGGAAATTTTCAGTGGAGCATCTTAACCGGCACCAATCGGGGCAAACATTTATATGTGATATCTTCGATATTAGTAGTATCGATTTTGGTTACTAAATGAAAAAAATATTTTTAATTTTTTGAGTCTCCATAGAGGCATGTGGCCCTTTGCGACACGCCTTAACCGTCTCTAATCGGGACCAAAATTTATGTGATATCTGCGACCGTGGTATTACCAATTGGGGGGATGAGACTGATAAAAATCAGTAATTTAATTTTTTTTAGCATGAATCCACTCTGATAAATTCTAATCATTTCGGTCATGAAGAACTTCAGTATGATGCACAGAATTGTAGAATGGTGTATATACGCCATGTTAGGAAAGCTTACACATGTGCCTACCAGATTAGCTGGTATACCATCGGCTCCAGAGACATTATTTTAAAGAAGCTTTTTTTCTGTAATCACTTCGCCTTTTTCGAGTGAAAGGATGGAAGCTGCTTACCTATAGATTTGTCAGAGTTCTGCATGTGGAAGCGTGGAGAAGTGTTTTCTCTATGTATGCATTATTATATTATTATTTTCGAATATGTATGCATTATTATGAACCTCTGGACAGATTTTACTTTAATTTTAGACAAAAACAAATACAAATAATGCTGTACTAAAAGGATAAATATTTCCCCACGACAATGTTCGAACGCTCATGACTCCAGATGCAATGACCAATTGCATGAATTAAGTAACGAATCGCTAGCTCATCCAGCACATTTTTCACACTCACCACAGTGCGCCTACCAAACCTCAAAAAATGTTCGGGGCCAAGAGATTTCCGACAAATGAAGAGGTTTTCACTGAAACAAGGACCTTGAAAAAACCGACTTTTTGAAGGGATACTTAACTTTTAGCACTGCTTGAATGTGTTCGAGCGTGGCCGCCTTCAAGATGATTTTCCTGACGGTTATCTTAAAGGAGCTTTTGCTCTAGAAAACAGAGAAAGATTTGATTCTACTGAATGCTTCATAATCTTATGGCTGTACCAAAAAGGCGGCTAATGTCGATAAGTGCAAGAGAATGCTGGGAAAATATAGCCACTGTAGTTAAAAAGACGTATGCAATATCGCAACAAGTGGTGAACCATGGTCTAAGCATTTTTTCGTACACTCATTATGCCAACAAAATCGTCTTTAAAACTCTCGCGTCCATCAATGTCAAATTTACTTAAATTAGTGTAAAAATGTTTCGTTTCTCGGTTCACTTCTTCAAGCCTCCATTTTCTTTTCTTATTCCCACCAAGTAAAACGCTGCTTGTTTTTCAAAGTTGCAGCTTTTTCACCTCGCTTACAACTGCCTCGAACACTCTCATCCGAAATTCACACAGAAATATTGACTCACTGTTACCAATTGAGGTTAATGGAAATGGCACGAAATTAATTTCATGTGAAATTGCAGCGACACGGAATATTCAATCTTGCTGGCAATGCGAAACCACAAACACACCTACACACACACCCAAAAGTACATACATAAATACATACATAAATACATAAGTAGCCAAGTAAAAAGAGATAAAGCCCACACGCTGGCTGAATAGTAAACCGATTGACAGCCTAAGGGATGGGCCGCGCAAAGGGTGAAGGGGCGCCAACGGCACACACACCCCGACATATATGTAAATCTACACACACTCGTTTGTGTAAAATTAATAACTGACACAATCTCCTTTCTTCTCTTCTTTTGCCTCCGTTTACAGCTACAACAGCAACAGCAGCAGCAACTCCGCCTCCAGCGGCAGCAACGCGAATGTAGTGCCGAAAAATGATAAAAATGCCATCATGCAAAACATTGCCAACAGTTATCGCCGCTCGGGGGCTAGCTACAATACCTCAGCCTCCAGCTCATCTGCCACTGCAATCTCCGCAGGCGTCTCCTCCACCTCCTATGCCGCCACCAATTGGTTAGGGCCGGTGCCGAAGCGTCGCCGCACGAAATCACGTACGAAGTCACGCGATTGCCGCGTCAGCCACTGGTCCGAGTGGTCGGCCTGCAGCAAAACTTGCGGCATCGGTGAGATGCATCGATATCGCAAGGTCATCAGGCATGGCAAGCGTGGCGGACGGCCATGTCCAGCGCTGCAAGAGTCCAAGTGGTGCGGCACGGAGAAGGGTTGCCACTCGCCGGCGACCTACTTCAATTGGTAAGTGAATTGTAAATTGTGCGCTAAAGTGAATCTAAGTGCGCATGTATACGTGTGTGTGTGTGTGTGTGGGTTTATAATACTGCCAGCCAGCGGGTGGGTTCGAAATGCTGGATTGACAGTTGGACAAGCAGTGACATTTAGCTGGACAAAGATTGACAGTTAAAAATTTTTGTGTGGGTTGGTGATCGTATATGGAGGGGCATTAAGAAAAAAATAGAAGCAAAAAGTGAATTTGCGGATTAAAAAAATATCAATTTGGGTTGGGGTTTATTGAAAGCAGTGCGCTGAGTGAAAGAAATGAATTGAATGCGAATCCGTGGAAAAAAAATATATATATGCACTTAAGCTCCTTTTGAATACACATAAATGGTTTTTTTTTTATGCATTTCCAGGTCCACTACATGAAGGACGCAGAGAAAACAAGCGTAGTTCGTAACGTAAGCGTATGATTTCTTTTACAAAAAAAAAATTCTAACAAAAATAAAAATAAAATAAAAAAAAGTATTGCTAAGTAAAAAGAACTATATAAAAAACAGTAAACAAGAATTAAAATAATATGGAGAAAAACAGAAAAATAATAAATATTTAGCATAAAAGCATTAAAATTATTAAACCCAACTCGTATTTTTAAGAGAAATTATATGTTGGTGTTTTGCAACAAAAAGTAAAAAAAAGGTTATTTTTTTGTTTTCAATGTGTGCATTAAAAAAAATATTTAGAAATATTTTGAATACAATTTTTTTTTAAGTTTTCATTAATAAAAAACACTCCAGAATTTAATTTTTTCATTCTGGTTTTTGTATAAATACCAAATTTGCCCTCTTTGAATTGATGAAGGGCCGGGAAACAAAATTTTTAATGAAGCAGTTTTATTCCTATTAGTCTTAAATCATTACATTTTAATTTAAACTAAATTAAACATTTTACTCTATTCTTATTATTTTAATTTTATTTTATTATAATAGCAATGAATTCCTTAAGTAGCAATGAAAGTTTGATTCGCGAAAATTCTTCAGAAGTGTACATATTAGGTATTTTTTTTAGTAAAAGCTCTAAGTTTCTCCGGTTTTGAATTATTTTTTATGTGTTATACAGTGCCGGTCACTTAAATAGCACCCTCTTTTGATCCACAGTATTCACAGTTTTCTTGTGTTTATTCAACATTCGGTAATTTTTATAAAAATATAGCATAACATATAGTCGATCCGATTTTAAGCTTATGTGAAATTTATCATGCTTCAAAAATTGTTTATAAAAATTTTTCAAAGTGTTTGGGAGCATGCAGTTTTAAACCCCGTTCAATTTTGGTAAAATAATTTCACTTACAGCTAGTTTTTGGTATAGTTTTTATCAAAAGATAGTGCTATTCAAATGACCGGCACTGTACATGATTATCTAAAGTTATTTGGTTTTATTTACAAGATAAAAAAAAATATTTTTAATTTTTTGTAGATATAGGGAAAGCTTTGAATAAATATTTTTTTTGTTTTTAAAAAACTTAAAATGCTTTTGTTAAAGATTTTACACTTCTAATATTTTTAAGTTACTCGTATTAAAAAAAATTAAATCCATTATTTTTTTTTTAATATTTTACATGTTCGATATTTTTTAATTAAACAAATTTTTATAAAAAATACATAATTTTTTTTTTGTCATTGCAAATTAATTTTTTCGAACTTCATGACAGTTATAACAATTGGCAGTCGCTATGAGTGCCAGGAGGTGTCTTTATATATCTTCTTCTTCTTATTTGGCGCTGTAATCGCCTGAGCAATCTTGGCCGAGTTGAACAAAGCCCACCACTCGTTTCTCTTCTGTGCCAACTGACGCCAATTGGAAATGCCAAGTGAAGCCAAGTCCTTCTCCACTTGGTCTTTCCATCGCAATAAGTGGCTCCCAATTCCATCAGCGGGTTCCGAGTATAATAATTTCATATACTAACTCTTAAATTACTTACTTTTCAAAACTAAACTTAAGATGGGATATTACCATAGGAAATGGTAAGTCCATCTTCTTTTCTTCATCCCCGCAACTTCTACAGGGATGTATTTAACACAGACGATCGTCGAAGCAGTGGTGTGATAGCACAGAGTCCTGTAAAGATGCCGAACCGCATCTTGCTGTAAATTAGTTTAGTTTCGGAAATTCTACATATCATTTCTTGTTAAGCCTCTGTCGTACATACTTACTACACAGTCATCGCGGTTGGTCCATAATGAGAAGCTGTTTTTCAGGGCAGAATACACTTGCCATTGCCTGTCGAGGGACGACCGCTATTAGACAAAACTTTTTTGCTTTATTTCATTTGATGTTGGTTGGCAACTGGACTCGAACCCAGACCCAGCGGATTGATTGCCTTCACGGCTAACCATTAAAGTGCAGCGTGCGCCAATTTCCTTAATTAATCACTGATCGTTGATTGTAAAGTTTAACGTACATTTCCTATGCACGACCTAGAAGTGGTGTATGAGTATTAAAAATTAGATACGTTCAGCCTATAAAGTACTGGATTCTACTGGCAGTGTTTCTATGCGGCCCTTATATGAGTTTCATAGTTGTTGAAGTTTGTCCTCTAATTTTTCCAACCCTTCTCACGTCGACTATATTTGGCCCTATTAAATAATTTTCTTTTTTTTCCGCTCTAAGTGCCCAAACGCAGCATTCAATCGAACTCATTTTGCTTTTGACAGGTGTTTGAAACTCTTCAGTTATTTATCTTGCTTGTAGCGAAATCTGTGGCCAGTGCAATATTTGGTCCGAATTAAAAAGGTATTTCACAATAGCGGTAGACCCTCGGCATGAACCTTTCGATTTTATTCTGCCATGAAAAAGCATGAAGGGCTATAAAGGTTAAGTGAAAGCCATACTCTTAGAAAAATGTGTGAAGTGCGCGAAGACTTATTTGCAAAATTGAATACAAATCATTACTTAAATAAATTCTCAGTTAAATTGAACACAAAAACTTCATGCAACCAGCTTAAAAAAAAAAATATTTTAGAAGATTCTTATTTCTAACATTCTTCAGTTATGTAAAAAAATTATAAAAACTTGCACTTGTTTTTTCTTTTACTCATAAGTCGTTTCTACCACGATTTTTTGTTTATAAACTATTGAATTTTTTACACCAGCATAAATTTTTAGTTTTTATTTTAAATTTTTAATTTTGTTTGTTGCAAAATGCCCAACCTTGTAATTAATCTAATGCAGAACACAATTTAAGTATCAAAAAGTATACTCAAATAGAGAAATTAATAGCAATAGTAATTCTGTATTTATCAGGTATGTTTTGCAAATTGTACGATTTGAACTCGACGCAATTTGTAAAAGGTCGGTGTTATGTAGAAATTTTGATTGTAAAACTGCCAAACTCGGAGGGGAGAAATTGGCGACTCTCTCAGCAATTAACAATTGGTGGACAAACTGCAGCGCCCAACCAGATATCTTATCAAAAAGGCAAAAATCGATGGGCTTGACGGAAGTGTTGCATTTTTAGCAATTTCCATTTTTATGATTCATCACTTTTGCTACAATTATTTAGTAACATTTTGTCAGCTGCAGCGACTTCAAATCGTACGATTTTCGGAACAGACCTGTATGTTTATGTTTGTGTAGAAACTTGTAAGTAATAACCTAAACTAACAACCACAAAAATTGAACAAGGGATATATAAAAAAAAAAAGTATAAGAAAACATAAAATAAAATACAAACAATCAATTCAAAAATCGTAATTAAGTAAATACTAAAAGCGATTACAAAGCATGTGCTCTCGAATTAAAAAAAAATCTCAAAAAATTTTTCGAAAAAAAACGAACGATTTTAATTGCAAAGAAGATGCAAAAAATTTAGAAATTTAAAATAAAAAAGAAATGTTTTCAGTCCTTGTATAGTTTAGGATAAGAAAACTGAAAAAAAAATTTAAATTTTTCATTAAAATCTTAAGTGCAATGCAATAGTCAAGAAATTATTTGTTTTTTTTTTCACTAGTCGCTATCTTGAATTTAACTATTTTTCTGTAAACTTAAGGCATTAAAAATCTATGTCAACTTGACAACTGGTAGTTAAGCTAAAAATATGCTTAAACGCTTTATTTTAAAAACTTAAAAATATTATCAATTTATTTTTATTTAATAAAGTGACATTTTGCTTAATTACTAGGCATTATGTGTTTGTATTTATAAAACTAATACATATGTAGTTCTGGAAACAAAACAAAAAAAAACAACACATGGACAATATAAGGAAAAAATTCAAACAAAAAAATTGTAAAATTAACGTGTATCGTGTAAATCTTTGCTGAAGCATGCTAATGCAGCTGTCTGGCTTGGAAAGAGAAATATAATAAAAGATAATATTTTGCAAAAAATATTGAAAAGAATAAATAAATGTTGTTCTTACTTATAGGGTTCCAAAAATACTGCATTTAAATAAATTAGTTTTTGAGTCCATCAACTTTTATAGAAGACCACCCGTCCACGGGAGATGAGTTTTATTAAAAAAAAAAAACGCAAGACTATTACCGAGCGGAAGAGAGTCAAACTAACCGGAAGACTATTTTTTTTAAATTGGGCATATATGTTTTTACCATGGATTCGGATGGTGCGAACAAAAATACATTGTTTCTGTCGGATGCTTTTTTCTGGTAAACACTTCCGTTAAGATAATGCACATCCGGTCTGTATAACCTACTTACAGGCGAAATTTTTAAGTCGTTAATATGACTATGACATAGAAAATCTTGGTAATCCATATTTTTTGTTTTCCAATAAAAACATTTTCACTCATTTAAGAAGTCCAGGACGAGTTGAAGTTCGAAGGTTATTTATAGGTTAAAAAAGGCACTTCCGATAAAAGTCTGAATCCGGCGAAACAAAACGGTTCCTGGGCCTACCACCAGGTGACGACAATAAACGATAGACCAGCCAATTGATGCATAGTTAAGTACAACAACAAAAACACATGCATTGTGGGCATATTAAAAAGTGGTGCGGATATTATGTACAATATTTAAACAGCTAATAAATGTGGAGTTCTAACGACTAAAACAAGGTTAAACGAAATATTTCAGAATATAAATTTGGGTCCAACTTTGAATCTCTTCAGAAAGATATGTTTATAGTGATTATTTCCAACATATAGGCAAATATAATGTTACCTAATACTAGGCCAATCTCATTCAGTTGTGGATCATTTTATTTTATATTTCTTAGTCCAACTAAGTTATTATGATATTTTTTGTTTTCAAAGATCAAAACCCCAAGCAACCTAGCGGGAAAAGTAATACACCTTCTTCGCTTACGCTGTGTGCGACTATTTGTTGCTTTTGACAAGGTAAGAATTAAGTTCATAAACTAAAGAAATATTTGATTAAAAATTGTAAAAAATTCGAAGAAAGCAGTCGTAGTAGAAAATTGGTCCAATTCGAAAATTACGTTCGTAATAAATATTTGTATGAAAATACTATTTTTGATAAACAAATATAAAGTATCCATTTTTACTCTGCATTATTTCCC